TGGCATAAAATAAATAAACAAATAATATCCGGCGGGCGCGTGTCAGTAGAAATGGCTACGCGTGTCAGTACTTTCCCTTGACCCTTTCCTCCCTGGAAGAGGCCTGGACAACGCGGGCAAGACCACCATCCTGAAGAAGTTCAACGGGGACGAGATCGACACCATCTCGCCCACATTGGGCTTCAACATCAAGACGCTGGAGCACCGCGAGTGAGTTTTCTCCCAAGACACAACGGAGGGTGGGTGGCCATCTGTCAGGAGGGCTTTGAGGGTGGTCCCTGGCAAAAGGGAGTTGGACCAGATGACCTTTGGAGGGCCCTTCCATCTGTAGGATTCAATCATCATCATCTTGGTTAATAATAATAATACGTCTCCTTGAGACTTTGAGGCTGGGTGGCCATCTGTCGGGAGGGCTTTGATGGTGTCCCTGGCAAAAGGGAGTTGGACTGGATGACCTTTGGGGGTCCCTTCCAACTGTAGGATTCAATCATCACCATCATCTTGGATAATAATAATAATACATCTCCTTGAGACTTTGGAGGTGAGGCTGGATGGCCATCTGTCGGGAGGGCTTTGAGGGTGTCCCTGGCAAAAGAGAGTTGGACCAGATGACCTTTGGGGGTCCCTTCCATCTGTAGGATTCAATCATCATCATCTTGGTCAATAATAATAACACATCTCCTTGAGACTTTGGAGGTGAGCCTGGATGGCCATCTGTCGGGAGAGCTTTGAGGGTGTCCCTGGCAAAAGGGAGTTGGACTGGATGACCTTTGGAGGGCCCTTCCAACTGTAGGATTCAATCATCATCATCATCTTGGATAATAATAACAATAATCATACGTCTCCTTGAGACTTTGGAGGTGAGCCTGGATGGCCATCTGTCGGGAGAGCTTTGAGGGTGTCCCTGGCGAAAGGGAGTTGGACTGGATGACCTTTGGGGGTCCCTTCCAACTGTAGAATTCAATGATAATAATAATAATAATCATCATCATCATCTTTGATGATGATGGTAATAGTAATAATAATAGTCTTTGATGGTGATGATGATGATGATGATACTAATACTCTTTGAAGATGATGATGACGAGTCTCCTTCTCTGGAGGCCTTGGAGTAGGATGTCCATCTACCAGGCTTTGACGGTGTCGTCCTACCTGGCAAATTGGGGTTGGGTTGGATGACCTTGAGAGTCATCAACATCTGGGACGTGGGTGGCGATCATCTTTGATGTTGATCATGATAATGATGATGATGATGATACTCGATGATGATGATAATAATGATGATGATGATACTCTATGATGATGATGATGATACTCTATGATGATGATGATGATGATGAGTCTCCTTCTCTGGAGGCCTTGGAGTAGGATGTCCATCTATCGGGCTTTGACGGTGTCGTCCTACCTGGCAGATTGGGGTTGGGTTGGATGACCTTGAGAGTCATCATCCTCCCCATCATCCTCTCCTTGGCTGATGATGACGAGTCTCTTTCTCTGGAGGCCTTGGAGTAGGATGTCCATCTATCAGGCTTTGACGGTGTCGTCCTACCTGGCAGATTGGGGTTGGGTTGGATGACCTTGAGAGTCATCATCCTCCCCATCATCCTCTCCTTGACTGATGATGGCGAGTCTCTTTCTCTGGAGGCCTTGGAGTAGGATGTCCATCTATCAGGCTTTGACGGTGTCGTCCTACCTGGCAGATTGGGGTTGGGTTGGATGACCTTGAGAGTCATCATCCTCCCCATCATCCTCTCCTTGGCTGATGATGACGAGTCTCTTTCTCTGGAGGCCTTGGAGTAGGATGTCCATCTATCAGGCTTTGACGGTGTCGTCCTACCTGGCAGATTGGGGTTGGGTTGGATGACTTGAGAGTCATCATCCTCCCCATCATCCTCTCCTTGGCTGATGATGACGAGTCTCTTTCTCTGGAGGCCTTGGAGTAGGATGTCCATCTATCAGGCTTTGACGGTGTCGTCCTACCTGGCAGATTGGGGTTGGGTTGGATGACCTTGAGAGTCATCATCCTCCCCATCATCCTCTCCTTGGCTGATGATGACGAGTCTCTTTCTCTGGAGGCCTTGGAGTAGGATGTCCATCTATCAGGCTTTGACGGTGTCGTCCTACCTGGCAGATTGGGGTTGGGTTGGATGACCTTGAGAGTCATCATCCTCCCCATCATCCTCTCCTTGGCTGATGATGACGAGTCTCTTTCTCTGGAGGCCTTGGAGTAGGATGTCCATCTATCAGGCTTTGACGGTGTCGTCCTACCTGGCAGATTGGGGTTGGGTTGGATGACCTTGAGAGTCATCATCCTCCCCATCATCCTCTCCTTGGCTGATGATGACGAGTCTCTTTCTCTGGAGGCCTTGGAGTAGGATGTCCATCTATCGGGCTTTGACGGTGTCGTCCTACCTGGCAGATTGGGGTTGGGTTGGATGACCTTGAGAGTCATCATCCTCCCCATCATCCTCTCCTTGGCTGATGATGACGAGTCTCTTTCTCTGGAGGCCTTGGAGTAGGATGTCCATCTATCAGGCTTTGACGGTGTCGTCCTACCTGGCAGATTGGGGTTGGGTTGGATGACCTTGAGAGTCATCATCCTCCCCATCATCCTCTCCTTGGCTGATGATGACGAGTCTCTTTCTCTGGAGGCCTTGGAGTAGGATGTCCATCTATCAGGCTTTGACGGTGTCGTCCTACCTGGCAGATTGGGGTTGGGTTGGATGACCTTGAGAGTCATCATCCTCCCCATCATCCTCTCCTTGGCTGATGATGACGAGTCTCTTTCTCTGGAGGCCTTGGAGTAGGATGTCCATCTATCAGGCTTTGACGGTGTCGTCCTACCTGGCAGATTGGGGTTGGGTTGGATGACCTTGAGAGTCATCATCATCCCCATCATCCTCTCCTTGGCTCTTCCAGCTTCAAGCTCTCTGGAGGCCTTGGAGTAGGATGTCCATCTATCAGGCTTTGACGGTGTCGTCCTACCTGGCAGATTGGGGTTGGGTTGGATGACCTTGAGAGTCATCATCCTCCCCATCATCCTCTCCTTGGCTGATGATGACGAGTCTCTTTCTCTGGAGGCCTTGGAGTAGGATGTCCATCTATCGGGCTTTGACGGTGTCGTCCTACCTGGCAGATTGGGGTTGGGTTGGATGACCTTGAGAGTCATCATCATCCCCATCATCCTCTCCTTGGCTCTTCCAGCTTCAAGCTCAACATCTGGGACGTGGGTGGCGATCATCTTTGATGTTGATCATGATGATGATGGTGATGATGATGATACTCTATGATGATGATGATGATGATGATAATGATGATGATACTCGATGATGATGATGATGATGATGATGATGATGATGATGATGATGAGTCTCCTTCTCTGGAGGCCTTGGAGTAGGATGTCCATCTATCGGGCTTTGACGGTGTCGTCCTACCTGGCAGATTGGGGTTGGGTTGGATGACCTTGAGAGTCATCATCATCCCCATCATCCTTTCCTTGGCTCTTCCAGCTTCAAGCTCAACATCTGGGACATGGGTGGTGATCATCTTTGATGTTGATCATGATGATGATGGTGATGATGAAGATACTCTATGATGATGATGATGATAATGATGATGATGATACTCTATGATGATGATACTCTATGATGATGATGATGATGATGATGAGTCTTCTTCTCTGGAGGCCTTGGAGTAGGATGTCCATCTATCGGGCTTTGACGGTGTCGTCCTACCTGGCAGATTGGGGTTGGGTTGGATGACCTTGAGAGTCATCATCCTCCCCATCATCCTCTCCTTGGCTGATGATGACGAGTCTCTTTCTCTGGAGGCCTTGGAGTAGGATGTCCATCTATCAGGCTTTGACGGTGTCGTCCTACCTGGCAGATTGGGGTTGGGTTGGATGACCTTGAGAGTCATCATCCTCCCCGTCATCCTCTCCTTGGCTGATGATGACGAGTCTCTTTCTCTGGACGCCTTGGAGTAGGATGTCCATCTATCAGGCTTTGACGGTGTTGTCCTACCTGGCAGATTGGGGTTGGGTTGGATGACCTTGAGAGTCATCATCCTCCCCATCATCCTCTCCTTGGCTGATGATGACGAGTCTCTTTCTCTGGAGGCCTTGGAGTAGGATGTCCATCTATCAGGCTTTGACGGTGTCGTCCTACCTGGCAGATTGGGGTTGGGTTGGATGACCTTGAGAGTCATCATCCTCCCCATCATCCTCTCCTTGGCTGATGATGACGAGTCTCTTTCTCTGGAGGCCTTGGAGTAGGATGTCCATCTATCAGGCTTTGACGGTGTCGTCCTACCTGGCAGATTGGGGTTGGGTTGGATGACCTTGAGAGTCATCATCCTCCCCATCATCCTCTCCTTGACTGATGATGGCGAGTCTCTTTCTCTGGAGGCCTTGGAGTAGGATGTCCATCTATCAGGCTTTGACGGTGTCGTCCTACCTGGCAGATTGGGGTTGGGTTGGATGACCTTGAGAGTCATCATCCTCCCCATCATCCTCTCCTTGGCTGATGATGACGAGTCTCTTTCTCTGGAGGCCTTGGAGTAGGATGTCCATCTATCGGGCTTTGACGGTGTCGTCCTACCTGGCAGATTGGGGTTGGGTTGGATGACCTTGAGAGTCATCATCATCCCCATCATCCTCTCCTTGGCTCTTCCAGCTTCAAGCTCAACATCTGGGACGTGGGTGGCGATCATCTTTGATGTTGATCATGATGATGATGGTGATGATGATGATACTCTATGATGATGATGATGATGATGATAATGATGATGATACTCGATGATGATGATGATGATGATGATGATGATGAGTCTCCTTCTCTGGAGGCCTTGGAGTAGGATGTCCATCTATCGGGCTTTGACGGTGTCGTCCTACCTGGCAGATTGGGGTTGGGTTGGATGACCTTGAGAGTCATCATCATCCCCATCATCCTTTCCTTGGCTCTTCCAGCTTCAAGCTCAACATCTGGGACATGGGTGGTGATCATCTTTGATGTTGATCATGATGATGATGGTGATGATGAAGATACTCTATGATGATGATGATGATAATGATGATGATGATACTCTATGATGATGATACTCTATGATGATGATGATGATGATGATGAGTCTTCTTCTCTGGAGGCCTTGGAGTAGGATGTCCATCTATCGGGCTTTGACGGTGTCGTCCTACCTGGCAGATTGGGGTTGGGTTGGATGACCTTGAGAGTCATCATCCTCCCCATCATCCTCTCCTTGGCTGATGATGACGAGTCTCTTTCTCTGGAGGCCTTGGAGTAGGATGTCCATCTATCAGGCTTTGACGGTGTCGTCCTACCTGGCAGATTGGGGTTGGGTTGGATGACCTTGAGAGTCATCATCCTCCCCATCATCCTCTCCTTGGCTGATGATGACGAGTCTCTTTCTCTGGAGGCCTTGGAGTAGGATGTCCATCTATCAGGCTTTGACGGTGTCGTCCTACCTGGCAGATTGGGGTTGGGTTGGATGACCTTGAGAGTCATCATCCTCCCCATCATCCTCTCCTTGGCTGATGATGACGAGTCTCTTTCTCTGGAGGCCTTGGAGTAGGATGTCCATCTGTCAGGCTTTGACGGTGTCGTCCTACCTGGCAGATTGGGGTTGAGTTGGATGACTTGAGAGTCATCATCCTCCCCATCATCCTCTCCTTGGCTGATGATGACGAGTCTCTTTCTCTGGAGGCCTTGGAGTAGGATGTCCATCTATCAGGCTTTGACGGTGTCGTCCTACCTGGCAGATTGGGGTTGGGTTGGATGACCTTGAGAGTCATCATCCTCCCCATCATCCTCTCCTTGGCTGATGATGACGAGTCTCTTTCTCTGGAGGCCTTGGAGTAGGATGTCCATCTGTCAGGCTTTGACGGTGTCGTCCTACCTGGCAGATTGGGGTTGGGTTGGATGACCTTGAGAGTCATCATCCTCCCCATCATCCTCTCCTTGGCTGATGATGACGAGTCTCTTTCTCTGGAGGCCTTGGAGTAGGATGTCCATCTATCAGGCTTTGACGGTGTCGTCCTACCTGGCAGATTGGGGTTGGGTTGGATGACTTGAGAGTCATCATCATCCCCATCATCCTCTCCTTGGCTCTTCCAGCTTCAAGCTCAACATCTGGGACGTGGGTGGCCAGAAGTCCCTCCGCTCCTATTGGCGCAACTACTTTGAGAGCACGGACGGGCTCATCTGGGTGGTGGACAGCGCCGACCACCCCCGGCTGGAGGACTGCAAGCGGGAGCTGCAGAGCCTGCTGGTGGAGGAGGTAGGACCACACCGCCCATCATCCCCAACCATTGTCCATGTCGTGCTTGGGTGCCCGTCCTTCCCTTTGACCTCTCTCTCTCTCTCTCTCTTGACCCACCAGCGCTTGGCCGGAGCCACCCTCCTCATCTTTGCCAACAAGCAGGACTTGCCGGGCGCCTTGACCGCCACCGCCATCCAAGAGGTGAGCGAAATTATAATAATAATCATAATAATCATAATCATAATTTTTATTCCAAGTGTTCTAACTTTCTTGCCGGTTGCTTGAGAGTTCTGGTTAACTGAAAGCCTACTGGATGGCCTTAACAACAACAACAACACTACAACAACTGCTAACCACAACAACAACAAATAATGATAATGATCATAACAATACTAGTACTACTAATACTAATAACTGTCCTTTTCCCTTATGGCAGAATGGGGTTGGAATTGGATGGCCTCAACAACAACACTACAACTACTAACAAATAATAATAATAATAATAATAATAATAATAATAATAATAATAATAATAATAATTGGATGACCTTAATAACAACAATAGGGAGTTGAAATCCAAAAAACCTGGAGGGCCCAAGTTTGCCCAGGCCTCGTCTACTGTATATTATATTATATTATGTTATATTATATTATATTATATTATTATATTATATTATATTATATTATATTATATTATATTATATTTATTATACTATATTTATTATACTATATTTATTATATTATATTATATTATATTTATTATATTAATTATAATTATATTATATTACATTATATATTAGATAATTATTATATTTATTATATTATTATATTTATATTATTATTATATTATATTATATGTTTTATTATATTATTATATTATATTTATATATTAATTATATTAATTATATTATTTATATTATATATTATTTATATATATATATTATATTATATTTTATTTATTATATTATATATATTATATATATTATATTATATTAATTATATATTATTATATTATATTATATTATATGTTCTATTATATTAATTATATTAATATTATTATATATTATTATATTTATTATATTATATATTATATTATATTATTATATAATTAATTATATGATATATTATATATATTTATTATTATATTATTATTAATATTATTATATTAATTATATTTTATATATAATTATTATTATATTATTATATTATATTTATATTATATTTATTATATTATATTTATTATATTTATTATATTAATATATTATAATATATTATATATATAATAATATTATTATATTATATTATATTATTATATATATTTATTATATTATATTATATTATATTATATATTATATATTTATTATATTTATGATATTATATTTATATTTATGATATTATATTATATTTATTCTCTTCTCTTCTCTTTCTCTGTCTTGCAGGCTTTGGACCTGGAGGGCATCCAGAGCCACCACTGGTGCATCCAAGGCTGCAGCGCCTACACCGGAGAGAACCTCTTGGCCGGCATCGATTGGCTTCTGGACGACATCTCCAGCCGGGTTTTCACCGCCGAATGAGCACCCATCATTTCTGCTCTAGTTCGGACTGCACTCCGGACAGATTCCGAACCTCTTCTGGGTCTTGTCCTACACTGCAGGGCAGGGCTGCGCAAGAGGCAACGTCATAGACTCCCATTGGGTTTTTTTTTCCTCCAGCCCTTTTTTTTCTCTCTTATTAATAAAATAATAAACTCAGAGTAAAAATTGTCAAAGTCTCTCTATATTTTTCTGCCTAGGTCAGGTTTTGCACTTTGTAGAGGAGCCCTTATTGATCTATTGGCGTTTGCACTTTGCAGATGCTCCCTAGCCTTCTCCAACTGGGAGGTCCCGGATTTAAAGGGGCCGCGTCACCAAAATGTCCCACCACTACAACAGCACAACTACTACTACTACTAACAACAACTAATAATAATGATGATGATGAGAAGAAGAAGAAAAGAAGAAGAAGAAGAAAGTTGGGGGGGGGGACATCATATAATAATAATAATAATAATAATAATAATAATAATAATAATAACAATAAAGTTGGGAGGGACATAATAATAATAATAATAATAATAACAACACTAGAGTTGGGAGGGACATAATATAATAATAATAATAATAATAATAATAATAATAATAATAATAACAACAACACTAGAGTTGGGAGGGACATAATATAATAATAATAACAACAACAACAATAGAGTTAGGAGGGACATAATATAATAATAATAATAATAATAATAATAATAATAATAATAATAATAATAATAGAGTTGGGAGGGACATAATAATAATAATAATAATAATAATAATGTTGGGAGGAACATAATAATAATAATAATAATAATAATAATAATAATAATAATAGAGTTGGGAGGGACATAATAATAATAATAATAATAATAATAATAATAATAATAATAGAGTTGGGAGGGACATAATAATAATAATAATAATAATAATAATAATAATAATAATAGAGTTGGGAGGGACATAATAATAATAATAATAATAATAATAATAATAATAATAATAAAGTTGGGAGGGACATAATAATAATAATAATAATAATAACAACAACAACAATAGAGTTGGGAGGGACATAATAATAATAATAATAATAATAATAATAATAATAGAGTTGGGAGGGACATAATAATAATAATAATAATAATAATAATAATAATAATAATAGAGTTGGGAGGGACATAATATAATAATAATAATAATAATAATAATAATAATAATAATAAAGTTGGGAGGGACATAATAATAATAATAATAATAATAACAACACTAGAGTTGGGAGGGACATAATATAATAATAATAATAATAATAATAATAATAATAATAATAATAATAATACATAATAATATATAATAATAATAACAATAATAATAATAATATAGTATGGTGGGATAATAATAATACATAATAATAATAATAATAATAATAATATAGTATGGTAGGATAATAATAATAATAATAATAATAATAATAATAATAATAATAGAGTTGGGAGGGACATAATATAATAATAATAATAATAATAATAATAATAATAATAAAGACACTTTTTGCAAAAAGAGGGGCTCATCAGGGGGAGAGACCAGCCTCATTGGCGGGGGTCGCAGTGGTCTGTGGGAGCCAACGTGATTGATTGACAGTACTGCAAATAATATTATTATTAGTAGTAGTAATAATAATAATTGGGGATAAATAAATAGGGGAGGGGTCTTTTTTTCTTTTTTTTCCTCTTCCAGCCCCTTTTTTTTTTCTCTTATTATTTATTTAAATAAAATAATTTCTCTTATTATTTAAATAAAATAATAAATTCCTAGTAAAAATTGTCAATAATTAATATTATTTTTTTCTGCTTGGACCAGGTTTGGCACTTTTTGAGGAGCCCTTCTTGATCTATTGTAGTTTTGCACTTTGCAGACGCTCCCTAGCCCTGTCTCTAGAGAGGAGAGGCATGCGCGCGCAGGCGCAGTGGAGCCCTGCCTTGGCTCCAACGGGGAGGTCCCGGATTTAAAGGGGCCGCGTCACGGAAATGTCCCGCCGGGCCAAAGAGGAGTACCAGCGTTTCTACACGGTCACCGAGCCCCGGGGACACCCCAAGGGACACACCGAGTACAAAGTGACCGCCAAGGTGAAGAGGGGGGCCTTGAAACGCACATAGACCCCAATTAAGGGTGCCTCTGAGCATGTGCAGAGAGCCCTGCATTGCAATTAAAGGCTGGCTTAAAGCAATGGATAGGGAAATGCAAATTATTGTTTTTTTCTTGAGTCAATGCAAGCTTATTATCATTATTATTATTATTATTATTGCCTCTGAGCATGTGCAGAGTGTCCTATTGCATGAATGATAGATCTGGGTAAAGGGAGTGAATATTGTTGTTGTTGTTGTTGTTGCCTCTGAGCATGTGCAGTGTCCCATTGCAGATTACTATTATTATTATTATTATTATTATTATTATTATTATTATTATTATTGTTATCATTAACATTATTGCCTCTGAGCATGTGCAGAGTGTCCCATTGCAGAAATGATAGGTCTGGGTAAAGGGAGTGAGTATTATTATTATTATTATTATTATGTTGTTGTTGTTGTTGTTGCCTCTGAGCATGTGCAGAGTGTCCCATTGCATGAATGATACATCTAGGTAAAGGGAGTTAATGTTGTTGTTGCCTCTGAGCATGTGCAGAGTGTCCCATTGCAGATTACTATTATTATTATTATTATCATCATTATTGCCTCTGAGCATGTGCAAAGTCCTCCCTTGCAGAAAGAGTAGATATGGGTCCTATCAGATGGCTTAAGGGAACGAATAGGGAAAAGCACATTATTGTTATTGTTGTTGTTGATTCAAAACAGCATACTATTACCATCATTGTTATTGCCTCTGAGCATGTGCAGAGTCCTCCATTGCATTGATATGTAAAGGGAATTAATAAGGAAAAGCACATTATTGTTGTTGTTGTTGACCCAAAGCTACTTATTATTATGGTTATTATTACTATTACCATTATTGTTGTTATTGTCATCATTATTATTGTTGTTGTTATTGCCTCTGAGCATGTGCAGAGTGTCTGATTGCATAGATACGGGTAAAGGGAATGAATAGGGAAAAGCACATTATTATTGTTGTTGTTGTTGTTGACCCAAAGCTGTTTATTATTGTTGTTATTACTATTATTGTTGTTGTTATTGCCTCTGAGCATGTGCAGAGTGTCTGATTGCATAGATATGGGTAAAGGGAATGAATAGGGAAAAGCACATTATTATTGTTGTTGTTGTTGTTGACCCAAAGCTGCTTATTATTGTTGTTGTTATTACTATTATTGTTGTTGTTATTGCCTCTGAGCATGTGCAGAGTGTCTGATTGCATAGATATGGGTAAAGGGAATGAATAGGGAAAAGCACATTATTATTGTTGTTGTTGTTGTTGACCCAAAGCTGTTTATTATTGTTGTTATTACTATTATTGTTGTTGTTATTGCCTCTGAGCATGTGCAGAGTGTCTGATTGCATAGATATGGGTAAAGGGAATGAATAGGGAAAAGCACATTATTGTTGTTGTTGTTGTTGTTGACCCAAAGCTGCTTATTATTATTGTTGTTATTACTATTATTGTTGTTATTGCCTCTGAGCATGTGCAGAGTGTCTGATTGCATAGATATGGGTAAAGGGAATGAATAGGGAAAAGCACATTATTGTTGTTGTTGTTGTTGACCCAAAGCTGCTTATTATTATTGTTGTTATTACTATTATTGTTGTTGTTATTGCCTCTGAGCATGTGCAGAGTGTCTGATTGCATAGATACGGGTAAAGGGAATGAATAGGGAAAAGCACATTATTATTGTTGTTGTTGTTGTTGACCCAAAGCTGCTTATTATTATTGTTGTTATTACTATTATTGTTGTTGTTATTGCCTCTGAGCATGTGCAGAGTGTCCCATTGCATGAAGGATAGATATGGGTCCTATCAGATGGCTTAAGGGAATGATTAATATTAAGGGAACAATTAGTAATAATATTGATTGTTGTGCACACAAAGTGACTTCTCGTTATCATTATTATTGCCTCTGAGCATGTGCAGAGTCTCAGCCATATGGGATTAAATACGCAGCAATGCACAAAGCAATACGCAGTTTGCACAAAACAAGGAAAGCATAAATTTTGGCGCTGTATAGAGAGAAATAAATGGGAATAAATCAAATTATTATTATTATTATTATTATTATTATTATTATTATTATTATTTTAAAAATTAAATTAAAAAATTAAATTTAAAAAATCAAATTAATTAAATTAAAATAAAAATAAAATATGGGTTTGATACAGTTTGCGCAAAACAAGGAAAGCATAAATTTTGACGCTGTATAGAGAGAAATTGGAATAAATCGAATTATTACTATTATTATTATTATTATTATTAAATTTATTTTAAAAATTAAATTAAAAAATTAAATTTAAAAAATCACATTAATTAAATTTAAATTAAAATAAAATATGGGTTTGATACAGTTTGCGCAAAACAAGGAAAGCATACATTTTGGCGCTGTATAGAGAGAAATAAATGGGAATAAATCGAATTATTATTATTATTATTATTATTATTATTATTAAATTTATTTTAAAAATTAAATTTAAAAAAATCAAATGAATTACATTAAAATAAAATAAAATATGGGTGTGATACAGTTTGTGCAAAACAAGGAAAGCGTAAATTTTGGCGCTGTATAGAGCGAAATAAATGGGAATAAATCTAATAATAGTAATAATAATTTAATTTATTTTATAAATTAAATTTAAAAATTAAATTAATCAAATAAAAAAATAAAATATGGGTGTGATACAGTTTGTGCAAAACAAGGAAAGCGTAAATTTTGGCGCTGTATAGAGCGAAATAAATTGGAATAAATTAAATTATTATTATTATTATTATTAAATTTATTTTAAAAATTAAATTTAAAATTAAATTTAAAAAATCAAATTAATTAAAGTAAAATAAAATAAGGGTTTGATACAGTTTGCGCAAAACAAGGAAAGCATAAATTTTGGCGCTGTATAGAGAGAAATAAATTGGAATAAATCAAATTATTATTATTATTATTATTATTATTATTATTATTAAATTTATTTTAAAAATTAAATTAAAAAATTAAATTTAAAAAATCACATTAATTAAATTAAAATTAAAATTAAATATGGGTTTGATACAGTTTGCGCAAAACAAGGAAAGCATAAATTTTGGCGCTGTATAGAGAGAAATAAAGGGGAATAAATCAAATAATAATAATAATTTAATTTAAAGATTAAATTAAAATTTAAAAATTAAATTAAAAAAATAATTTAATTTTAAAAATACATTATATTATTATTATTATTTGATGTATTCCCATTTATTATTCTTTCAATAAAATTTTACTAAAATATTTTATTTTTAAAATTTAATTAAATCTTTAAAATTAAATTAATCAAATTTTTAAAAAAACAAAATAAAATATTTTAGCAAAATTGTATTGAAAGAATAATAAAATAAAATATTGCCATATATAAAACCAAAAACAATACCAGTAATAAAAATATTGCCTAAAACAATATTCAGAAACGTACCATATCAAACCAAAAACAATACCAGTAATAAAAATAAAGAAATTATATATACATATATATTTGCATATGCAGATATTTACAATTGCTCCTCCTTTTTTTTGCTTCCCAGTTTGTCTCTAAAGTGAATCCAGAAGATGTCAAGGAGGTATGTATGGCTTTCGGGGGGCGACTGCCTGTGCTTTGGGGCCTGGGGGTGTTTGGGGTCGGACTAGATGACCTTTGGGGGTCCCCCCGATGCCTTCTCGTCCAATAGATCGTGGTGTGGAAGCGGTACAGCGACTTCAAGAAGCTGCATTCGGACCTGGCCTACACGCACCGGAACCTCTTCCGACGGATGGAGGACTTCCCGTCCTTTCCGAGGGCCCAAGTCTTCGGTGAGGACATCTAGCCCAGCCCCAGCGGTTCAGGCACCATCTAACCCCTCCCGACAGATGGCCAGAGGAGGAGACTCCAAGGCATTGAACGGCTCTTCCCACCAAAAGGATCGTCCAGACCGTGGACCACGTTGGCTGCCCATCCATCTCATCATCATCATCATCATCATCTTTATTTCTTTCCCACTTTTCTCCTATTATTATTGTTATTTGATACCCATATCAATAGATAGATAGATAGATAGATAGATAGATAGATAGATAGATATATCAATATATCTATCATGCTGGCCACATGACCTTGGAGGTCAATATATCAATCGATATATCAATATCTGTATATATATATAGATAGATACATCAATAGATAGATAGATAGATAGATAGATAGATATCAATATATAGATAGTTATCTATATATAGATAGTTATCTATATATAGATAGATAGATATCAATATAAAATGTATAGATAGATAGATAGATAGATAGATCAATAGATAGATAGATAGATAGATATCAATATATAGATAGTTATCTATATATAGATAGATATCAATATATAATATATAGATAGATAGATAGATAGATCAATAGATAGATAGATAGATAGATAGATAGATAATCAATATATAGATAGATAGATCAATATATATTGATATATATATCAAGATAGATCAATATATATATATATATATATATTGATATATATATCAATAGATAGATATCAATATATAGATAGATAGATATCAATATATATTAATATATATAGATAGATACATCTATATGTTAATATATATATCAATATATAGATAGATAGATAGATATCTATATATAGATTGCTATCAATATATATTAATATATATTGATATGTGTATCAAATAACAATAATAATAGGGGAATAGTAAATATATATAGATAGATAGATAGGTAGATATCAATATATAATATATATATAGATAGATAATCAATATAGAGATAGATAGATCAATATATATTGATATATATATCAAGATAGATAGATCAATATATATATATATATTGATATATATATCAATAGATAGATATCAATATATAGATAGATAGATATCAATATATATTAATATATATAGATAGATACATCTATATATATATTAATATATATATATTGATATATATATCAATATATAGATAGATATCTATATATAGATTGCTATCAATATATATTAATATATATTGATATGTGTATCAAATAACAATAATAATAGGGGAATAGTAAATATATATAGAGAGAGAGGGAGGGAGGGAGATATCAATATATAATATATATAGATATATATCAATATATATATATATATATTGATATAGTATATAACATATATAAAGTATAATAATAATAATACTTATTATTATTATTAAACTGCCCTGCGTCACCCAAAAGGCTGAGATATATCTATATACATAGATAGATATCGATATCTATCTATCTATCTATCTATCTATCTATCTATCTATCTATCTATCTATCTATACATATAATTATTATAGACTGCCCTGCGTCACCCAAAAGGCTGAGATATTATTATTATTACTATTATTATTATAGTAATATATCATTATATCATATTTATTATATTACCATTATTATTATTATTATTATTATGGAAGTAGTATATCAGTGGTTCTCAACCTTCCTAATGCCGCGACCCCTTAATACAGTGCCTCACGTGGTGGTGGCCCCCAACCATAAAATTATTATTATTGCTACTTCCTAATTGTAATTGTGTTACTGTTATGAATCATAATGTAAATATCTGAAATGCAGGATGTATTTTCATTCACTGGACCACATTTGGCACAAATACCCAACAACGTCGCTCCATGCCGTCATGTCAGCCACATGACCTTGGAGGTGTCTATGGACAACACCGGCTCTTTGGCCTAGAAATTGAGCACCAACTCCCAGAGTTGGACACAACTGGACTTAATGTCAAGGGAAAACGTTTACCTTACATTACCCAATATGCCCAAATTTGAATACTGGTGGGGTTGGAGGGAAAATTGATTATGTCATTTGGGAGTTGTAGTTGCTGGGATTTATAGTTCACCTACAATTAAAGAGCATTTTGAACTCCACCAATGATGGAATTGGACCAAACTTGGCACACAGAACTCCCATGACCAACAGGAAATACTGGAAGGATTTGGTGAGCATGACCTTGAGTTTGGGAGTTGTAGTTCACCTACATCCAGAGAGCACTGTGGACTTCAAACAATGATGGATCTGGACCAAACTTGGCAAATACTCAATATGCCCAAATATGAACACAGATGGAGTTTAAGGGAAATAGACCTTGCATTTGGGAGTTGTAGTTGCTGGGATTTATAGTTCACCTACAATCAAAGAGCATCCTGAACTCCACCAATGATGGAATTGAACCAAACTTGGCACACAGAACTCCCATGACCAACAGAAAATACTGGAAGGGTTGTGCACTGACCTTGAGTTTTGGAGTTGTAGTTCACCTACATCCAGAGAGCACTGTGGACTCAAACAATGATGGATCTGGACCAAACTTGGCACAGATACTCAATATGCCCCAATGTGAACACTGGTGGAGTTTGGGGAAAATAGTCCTTGACATTTTGGAGATGCAGTTGCTGGGATTTATAGTTCACCTGCAACAAAGAGCCCTCGCCTGCTCCGCACCCCTGCCGGCCGGCGGGAGAGCAAAGCAGGGCGAGGGGCACCCATCAGAAGGAGATGAGGGACAGGCGGATGGCTTCGCGCGCGGGAGTGCCAGTGGCGCAGGGGGTCGGCCGCCTTTTTGGAGGGGGCGTGGCCAGCCAATGCAGCTTCGCGACCCCCAGAAAATGGCCAAGCGACCCCCCGAGGAGTCGCGACCCCCAGGTTGAGAACCGCTGTAGTATATCATTACATCATATTTATTACATTATATGGTAATATTACTATTATTATTATTATTATTATTATTATAGAGGTAGTATATCATTATATCTTACTATATTTATTATATTGTAATATTACCAATACTAATATCATTATTATTAGTATTATTATTATTATCGTCCGCAGGCCGTTTCGAACCGGAGGTGATCGAAGAGCGTCGCAAAGCGGCAGAGGTCATGCTCCGCTTCACGGTCCACATCCCGGCTTTGAACAACAGCCCGCAACTCAAGGAGTTCTTCCGGGTATTTATGATTGATTACCATATTATATTATTCGTATTGTAAAGGTTTTCCCCTTGACATGAAGTCTAGCCGTGTCCAACTCTGGGACTCTGGCGCTCATCTCTATTTCTAAGCCGAAGAACCGGCGTTGTCCATAGACCCCTCCAAGGTCATGTGGCCAGCATGACTGCACGGAGCACCATTACCTTCCCGCTAGAGCAGTACCTATTGACCTACTCACATTTGCATGTTTTCGAATTGCTAGGTTGGCAGGAGCTGGGGCTGACAGCGGAAGCTCACCCCGGACCCCGGATTTGAACTGCCGACCTTTCGGTCAGCAAGTTCATCAGCTCAGTGGTTTAACCTGCTGCACCACCAGGGGCTAATAATAATAATAATAATAATAATAATAATAATAATAATAATATGTCTGGATGTCATCGGGGTTTGTGAAAATATTATAAATACAGTAATAATAATAATAATAATAATAATAATATGTCTGGATGTCATCGGGGTTTGTGAAAATATTATAAACATAATAATAATAATAATAATAATAATAATAATAATAATAATATGTCTGGATGTCATCGGGGTTTGTGAAAATATTATAAATACAGTAATAATAATAATAATAATAATAATAATAATAATATGTCTGGATGTCATCGGGGTTTGTGAAAATATTATAAACATAATAATAATAATATATAATATGTCTGGATGTCATCGGGGTTTGTGAAAATATTATAAATATAATAATAATAATAATAATAATATGTCTAGATGTCATCGGGGTTTGTGAAAATATTATAAATAATAATAATAATAATAATAATAATAATAATAATAATAATATGTCTGGATGTCATCGGGGTTTGTGAAAATATTATAAATACATAATAATAATAATAATAATAATATGTCTGGATGTCATCGGGGTTTGTGAAAATATTATAAACATAATAATAATAATAATAATAATAATAATAATAATATGTCTAGATGTCATCGGGGTTTGTGAAAATATTATAAATATAATAATAATAATAATAATAATAATAATAATAATAATATGTCTAGATGTCATCGGGGTTTGTGAAAATATTATAAACATAATAATAATAATAATAATAATAATAATAATAATATGTCTGGATGTCATCGGGGTTTGTGAAAATATTATAAACATAATAATAATAATAATAATAATAATAATAATAATATGTCTAGATGTCATCGGGGTTTGTAATAATAATAATAATAATAATAATAATAATAATAATAATAATATGTCTAGATGTCATTGGGGTTTGTGAAAATATTATAAATATAATAATAATAATATGTCTGGATGTCATTGGGGTTTGTGAAAATATTATAAACATAATAATAATAATATGTCTGGATGTCATCGGGGTTTGTGAAAATATTATAAATATAATAATAATAATAATAATAATATGTCTAGATGTCATCGGGGTTTGTGAAAATATTATAAACATAATAATAATAATAATAATAAATGTCTTGATGTCATCGGGGTTTGTGAAAATATAAACATAATAATAATAATATGTCTGGATGTCATCGGGGTTTGTGAAAATATTATAAACATAAACATGTGGCCACTGGCATGACATTCAGTCAGCAAGTTCAGCAGCTCAGCGGTTTAACCTGCTGCGTCACTGGGGGGCATTATGATATAATGATACTAATTATTATTGCAGGGAGGGGAAGGGAGGAAGCCCCCCGAAAACTTCAACCTGCCGCCTCTTCCGCCGCCTCTCATTCCTGCGCCGCCCGAAGCCATAGAAGCGGGAGAAGATGCCTTGCGGTCGGTCCCCGAAGCGGAGTATCTGGATAGCAAACCGGAGCGGAGCCAAACGCCGGAAACCGATGACCGAGGTACGGCTTTTAATCACGATCATAATAATATGGAGGGAAACTCAAAGGGCATCTAGGACTGTTGTTGTTGTATTTCCTCCACCACAGGCATCCCAGGGTTCCTGACTCTCTCCATTAGTGTGGAATTTGTATTATTATTATTATTATTATTATTATTATTATTATTATTATTATTATTTGAAACACAACAAGATGAGTCCACAGCAGACACTCTGCTGGTTGTTGAAATGGACCACACTTTCCATTATTATTATTATTATTATTATTATTATTATTATTATTATTATTGTGATGCCTGCGGTGGAGGAAATACATAATAACAACAACAGTCCTAGATGCTTTGGAAGTGTTTGACTTGTGTTTTTGTGTCAGTAAAATAATAATATAATATAATAACAATACAAATAAAATTAATAATTGGGTTGCTGTGAGTTTTCCGGGCTGTCTGGCCATGTTCCAGAAGCATTCTCTCCTGATGTTTCACCCACATCTATGGCAGGCATTTTCTGAGGTTGTGAGGTCTGTTGGAAAGTTGGCAAGTGAGGATATATACCGTAATATCTGTGGAACGATGTCCGTGGTGGTTAGCATTGAATGGCTTTGTAGTCTCAAAGCCTGGCTGGTTGCTGCCTGGGGGAATCCTTTGTTGGTAATTCTTACTCCTCTCCTCCCATCTTTTGGGTGGGCAATAATACTCATATACTATTTGTTTTGCAGGTCCCGGTGCAAGGAGTCCCGCTCTGCCCATTAAAAGCAATGACGACGAAGCTTTGGACGCCCTTTTTGCGTACGGAGGGGAAGAGGAAGAAGAGAAGGATGGAGTGCCGAGTGCGGATTCACCGCCCCGCTGCCCTTTGTCGGTCCAGGAACTGGCCCTCTTCGACCCCTTCTCCAAAGAAGGTTTGCGCCTATTTCGATGTCCCTCATAGGAAGCCAGCAATCAACATGTTTGCAGATGACATTGAGATAGCTGTAGAAGACCCAATAAGTCCGACCCCCATTGAAATGTCTTACTTCTGATCCTAGTGTACTATAGACTTGCATTGGAGGACCTAGAGATTTTCTATTATTATTATTATTATTATTATTATTATTACTATTATGTGGTGGTGGTGGATATACTATAATAATCCCCCAGCAAGGAGAGATTAAATTATTATTATTATTATTATTATTATTATTATTATTATTATTATTATTATTATGTGGTGGTGGTGGTGGTGGTGGATACACTATAATAATTCCCCAGCAAGATTAAATTATATTATTATTATTATTATTATTATTATTATTATTATTATGTGGTGGTGGTGGTGGTGGATACACTATAATAATTCCCCAGCAAGATTGAATTATTATTATTATTATTATTCCCCAGCCAAGAGGGAAATTATTATTATTAATAATATTATTAATATTATTAATAATATTATTATTATTAATAATAATATTATTATTATCATGTTGAAGATATAATTATTGTATTATTATTGCTATTATTCCCCAGCCAAGAGGGAATTTTTTATTATTATTATTATTATTATTATTATTATTATTATTATTATTATTATTATCATGTTGTTGGGGATATAATTATTTTATTATTATTGCTGCTATTATTATTATTATTATTATCATCATCATGTTGTTGGGGATATAATTATTGTATTATTATTGCTATTCCCCAGCCAAGAGGGAATAAATTATTATTATTATTACTACTACTACTACTACTACTATTATTATTATCATGTTGTTGGGGATATAATTGTATTATTATCGCTATTATTCTGGGGAATAAGAGGGAAATAATAATAATATTATAATTATTATTATAATTATTAACATCATCATGTTGTTGGGGATATAATTATTGTATTATTATTGCTATTATTCCCCAGCCAAGAGGGAATAAATTATTATTATTATTACTACTACTACTACTACTATTATTATTATCATGTTGTTGGGGATATAATTATTGTATTATTATCACTATTATTCTGGGGAATAAGAGGGAAATAATAATAATATTATAATTATTATTATAATTATTAACATCATCATGTTGTTGGGAATATAATTATTGTATTATTATTGCTATTATTCCCCAGCCAAGAGGGAAATTATTTATTATTATTATTATTATTATTATTATTATTATTATTATCATCATCTTGGGGATATAATTATTGTATTATTATTGCTCTTATTCCCCAGCCAAGAGGGAATAAATTATTATTATTATTATTATTATTATTATTATTATTATTATTATTATTATTATTATTATATCCCCCAAAAGAATGAGCAATAATCGGAACTTGATATACATATATATTGAGCCCCTACTTCGCGGATTTTCACTTTTCGCGGCGCGGGTGGTCCTGGAACGTAACACCCGCGGTAAGTGAGGAAACAGTGTATTATTATTAGTAATTTTATTTATTGATTAGCCCTTAGGCCATATCATCATTATTATTATTTTCTTGGCTCCTTTCCCAATGTTTTCAGACTCTGAAACTGCAACTGTGTCTCACGAGGAAGAGCTGGCGGCTCTAGACGCTTCGGACTGCAGTCCGGCACGGAGCGCCATGCAAGCCAATGATGGAGAGGCCGGCGGCTACTTGGCCCTGGCCATTGAACGCATCCAACGGGCCTCCGAGAGCGAAGTGGCCCACGACTACCAGGAAGCCTTTCGCGGATACCGCAGCGGAGTGGACTTGCTGCTCCAGGGGATGCAAGGTAAACGCGGTCGGGAAAACCCGGAATCTCGGCAGGTTTTTGGAAGCGTGACCTTTTCAGAGAATTAATCGGCATTCACGCTATGTGGAATAATCATAATCTTGACCACGTTAAGAAATCGTTCTATTGTTTCGATTTCATTAACTTCACAGGGACATAGTCTTTGGGAGTAAGGATTTAATAATAATAATAATAATAATAATAATAATAATAATAATAATAATAATATAGGAGATGGATGGATAACCTTGAAAATAGAGATTTTGAGGTCTCTGCAAGCAGGACATGTGCCTCCATCATGAGCCTGGGATTTGTAGTTTGCCTAGGGACACCTTTTCCCCCCTTGCTTTCCAGGAGACCTGAAAAATAATAATATATTATATTATTACTACTACTATTAATATAATTATTTATATTATATTTTAATATTATAATAATAATAATAATAATAATATAGGAGATGAATGGGTAACATAATAGTATATTATATTATTATTACTACTACTAATATATTATTACTACTATTAATATAATTATGTATATTATAATTTAATATAATGATAATAATATAGGAGATGGATGGGTAACATAATAGTATATTATATTATTACTACTATTAATATAATATTTCTACTACTATTAATATAATTATTTATATTATATTTTAATATAATAATAATAATAATATAGGAGATGGATGGGTAACATGATCGTATATTATATTACTACTACTATTCGTATAATTATTTATATTTTAATATAATAATAATAATATAGATGGATGGGTAACATAATAGTATATTATATTATTATTACTACTATTAATATATTACTACTACCAGTATTAATATAATTATTTATATTATATTTTGATATAATATTACTACTACTAATATAATTATTTATATATTTTAATATAATAATAATAATAATAATAATAATAATAATAATAATATAGGAGATGGATGGGTAACATAATAGTATATTATATTATTACTACTACTACTATTAATAATACTACTACTATTAATATAATTATTTATATTATATTTTAATATAATAATAATATAGGAGATGGATGGGTAACATGATCGTATATTATATTACTACTACTATTAGTATAATTATTTATATTTTAATATAATAATAATAATATAGATGGATGGGTAACATAATAGTATATTATATTATTATTACTACTATTAATATATTACTACTACCAGTATTAATATAATTATTTATATTATATTTTGATATAATATTACTACTACTAATATAATTATTTATATATTTTAATATAATAATAATAATAATAATAATAATAATAATAATAATATAGGAGATGGATGGGTAACATAATAGTATATTATATTATTATTACTACTACTATTAATATTACTACTACTATTAATATAATTATTTATATTATATTTTGATATAATATTACTACTACTAATATAATTATTTATATATTTTAATATAATAATAATAATAATATAGGAGATGGATGGGTAACATAATAGTATATTATATTATTATTACTACTACTATTAATATTACTACTACCAGTATTAATATAATTATTTATATTATATTTTGATATAATATTACTACTACTAATATAATTATTTATATATTTTAATATAATAATAATAATAATAATAATAATATAGGAGATGGATGGGTAACATAATAGTATATTATATTATTATTACTACTACTATTAATATTACTACTACTATTAATATAATTATATTATATTTTAATATAATAATAATAATAATATAGAAGAATGGACAGGTTACATCTGCCTTGAAAATAGGGATTTTGAGGTCTCTGCAAGCAGGACATGTGCCTCCAACGTGAGGCAGCAGCCTGGGATTTGTAGTTTGCATAGGAACACCGTTTCCCCCCCTTGCTTTCTAGGAGATCCGAACGAGGCCCGTCGGGAGGCAGTGAAGAAGAAGACGGCCGAATACCTGCAAAGAGCCGAGGAGATTTTCCAGCAGCACCTAAAGCACCTTGAGCTGTGAGCGGAGCGCTACGTCTCCCAATGGAAGCCCCCCCTTTTCCGTTTCGTTGCAGCACCTTTTGCAAGGTCTTCTTTTGTTGTGTTGTTGTGTTTTTGTTTTTTAAGAAAATAAAGCATCTCACCTCCTGGTTCTTTTTTTTTTTATTGTAAACAACAGTAACCACTACACCCAACATTCAGCCAAATTATAACTAAAGCAGTGCAATCTTTCAACTGGCCATAAGATGGCAGCAAAAACAAAAAGTGGGAAATAGATGTAGCCACTGGAGGGCAGCAAAGGACTTAACATGGAATATCATGGAGGATGGCAATAGGATTTAGGGCATTGCAAGACATACATACATACATATTTATATTATATTTTAATATAATAATAATAATAATAATAATAATAATATAGGAGATGGATGGGTAATATAATAGTATATTATATTATTACTACTATTAATATAATATTTCTACTACTATTAATATAATTATTTATATTATATTTTAATATAATATTTGCAGAAAGATATATGTGTTTGTGTGTGTATATATTATATTATATATGTATATATTATAATCTATTACAATATAAATATATTATAATAGATTATAATATATTTGCAAAGATATATATGTGTTTGTGTGTATATATTATATATGTATATGTTATAATATATAACATATATATTATAAACACCGCATTGAGTCGCCGTTCCAGGCTGAGATATTGCGGTATATAAGAGTATCAAATAAATAAATAAATAAATATAATATAATATAATATAAATATATTACATATGTTTACTTATATATTAAAATATAAATTATATATATAACAAATAAGTAAAAGTTATACACATAATATAAGTGTGTGTGTGTATATATATATTATATATGTATATATTATAATCTATTATAATATAAATATATAATAGATTATAATATATTTGCAGAAAGATATATCATATATGTGTTTGTGTGTGTATATATTATATACGTATATAATATAAATATATTACATATGTTTACTTATATATTAAAATATAAATAATATATATAATAAATAATAAGTAAACATAACATAATCATCTATACACTTAATATAAGTGTGTGTGTGTATATATATAATACATATGTATATATTATAATCTATTATAAATATATTACATATGTTAACTTATATATTACAATATAAATAATATATATAATAAATAAGTAAAAATATACACATAATATAAGTGTGTGTATATATATATATATATTTATATATATTATAATTATTATAGATTATAATATATTTGCAGAAAGATTATATTATAATATAAATAATAAATAAGTAAAAATATAATTATATAAATCTATACACACAATATAAGTGAAAACGTGCTATAGGTGTCACCACTCAGGAGACACCAAAGTCCCTCCCTCCAATGACATTGCAGGTCATAGCGAGCGACGTAAACATGTCCAAGAGCCCTGCCAATGTCCTCCGTCAACACCACACTGCCCACCACCTAAGGGAAGGCTTTCATTCGGGGACAATTCCATCCTAGATTTCATGTGTTTCCTCCACCACAGACATCCCAGTTTCTCTGACTCTCTCCATTGGTTTGGAATTTGCATGACCCTGCCCACTGCCTCTCCCTTTCCTACTCTTTCCTATGGCACACGGCAAACAGAGGACAATTCCATCCTAGATTTCATGTGTTTCCTCCACCACCAGACATCCCAGTGTTCCTTTCTCTCTCCAGAGGTGTGGAATTTGCATGACCCCACCCACTGCCTCTCCCTTAACCCTTTCCTATTCTTTTCTATGTCACATGGCAAACAGAGGACAATTCCATCCTAGATTTCATGTGTTTCCTCCACCACAGACATCCCAATGTTTCTGACTCTCTCCAGTGGTGTGGAATTTGCATGACCCCGCCTTCTGCCTCTCCCTTAACCCTATCCTACTCTTTTCTGTCACATGGCAAACAGAGGACAATTCCATCCTAGATTTCATGTGTTTCCTCCACCACAGACATCCCAGTGTTCCTTTCTCTCTCCATTGGGGTGGAATTTGCATGACCCCGCCTCCTGCCTCTCCCTTAACCCTATCCTACTCTTTTCTGTCACATGGCAAACAGAGGACAATTCCATCTTAGATTTCATGTGTTTCCTCCACCACAGACATCCCAGTGTTCCTTTCTCTCTCTATTGGGGTGGAATTTGCATGACTCCACCCACTGCCTCTCCCTTAACCCTTTCCTAGCAGCTGTATTTTGTACCAAATTGAGCTTCCGGATCACCGACAGAGGAAGGCCAATGTAGAGGGCGTTACAGTAGTCCAGTCTGGAGATGACCGTGGCCTGGATCACCGTAGCTAGGTCATCCCTGGAAAGGGAGTGGGCAGCCGTCTAGCCTGCCGCAGGTGAAAGAAGGCGGTTCTGCTCACGGCCTCCATCGTCAGCAGAGGGTCCAAAAGGACTCCCAGACTCTTGACCAACGATGACGGGCGTAGCGCCTCCTCGCCATCCAGGGTAGGCAGCTGGATGTCCCCACTGCCCGGTTGACCCAGCCATAGGATCTCCGTCTTTGCCGGATTCACCCTCAACCTGCTGGCACGCAGCCATCCAGTCACGGCCTCGAGGCACTGAGGGAAACAATCGGGGACAGAGTCCGGTCATTGGGGTACTGATAACACTCAAGCCCGGAACCTCGAACCAGCTGAGCAAGTGGTCGCATAGAAATGTTTGTACATTAGTTGATTATAAATTGTATGATTTTAACTGTATTTGTGTTTAGATTGGCTGCAGTAATGCTGGAGCGGCCTAAGTCAGAGGAGTCCTCCATGTGCGTTGCCATGGAGACCGATGCAGGAGAGAGGGAAGTGGGAGGAGCTTAGAGGGGAGAGTTTGAAAAAACGGCAGTTAAAAATCAGTGCGGGTTTAGGTTTAGAGGAGTTAGGTTCAGAGGAGTGAGGAGTTGGGAGAGAAGGAAAGGAAAGGTGGCGGAGCGACTTGTGAAGCAAACCTTTGAGGCTTTGAAAAGCTGGGTTTGGCTATTGGAAGTTTCTCAGGCTAGTGCAGCCGAATGGTGAAACATAGCTGGTATTCTTTTAGTCTAAGGAGAGGCTAAAGAATAGTTTACTTAGTATTTGATCTAGGGAGGATCAAATAAGGGAAACATCCCTGTATGGAAACTTTGTCTGAAACAAGTGCTCTACGTCAGAAAGATACTGTGTTACTTGAAAGAATGAACTGTTAAAGTTACAAGTATTATTCCAAGTGCAACAAGGAAAAGTTACGTCTTGCAACCACACGCTGTGTACTTAATAAAATTGTTAACTTTTATTTGAAGATTGCCTCAGCTCCGTCTATTCTGTGTCCAAAGTGCCATTTCTCACAATATTACAACTTACCTCACATGGTGGCAGAAACGCAGGGAAAAGTAACCAAATAAATCTACATTCTTCTCTCCAGTCACGCTACAGTATATACAGTGTAATTACTACTAAGTTATTACTTTCTTAATAAAGGAGGAGGTGCAATTGAACAGCCTCCCTTCCAACTTGATGGTAAATTTGGTTCCTAATCGGCAACCTCCATTGCAAATCGGCCAGTTCTTTTTAAAGTTGGGAACTGGAATAAAATCTCCTGAATACTGGTTCCTTTCAAATTGGTGGCAACAATAAATCATCCCTCAGCTTCCCTGCTTCTTTTCAATGTTAAACAACAGAGGTGAGAGAATGGTCCCCTGAGGAACCCCACAAGACAGAGGGGACCTCTCAGAGACCAGGCCCTCCCCCTCTTGACTCGCTGTCCACGGTTGTGAAGAAAGGAGGACAGCCAGGTTAAAGCTCTCCCCGACTCCAACAGCAGCAAGGCGGTGGGTCAAGAGATTGTGGTTGACTGTGTCAAATGCTGCTGTGAGATCCAATAACACAAGCAGCGCTGACCCGCCCTGATCAAGCTGGCATCAAAGGTGATCCGTGAAGGAGACAAGCATAGTCTCTGTCCCGTGCCCCGCACGGAAGTCGGACTGGAAGGGATCAAGTCCGGCTGTGTCGTCTAGGAATGGCTACAACTGCTCCGCTGTTGCCCTCTCAATCACCTTGCCCAGGAACGAGAGATTCGAAACTGAGCGGTAACTGGAGGGAACCGAGGGATCTAAGTCTGGTTTCTTCAGCAGGGGAGAGACCACCGCTTCTTTTAAGTTGTTTGTAGCAGACTGACGAATCAACCTCCAAAGGAGTATGAATGAAAGCCAGAGCTCAAGTGTGCTTATTTAAGTTGGTGAGCTACTATACACGGCCAGAGGCTGTGATACTAAATCTCTGCAAACTGTGACCAAGACTCTGCCTAGTTTAGGGAACTAACAGCAGACCTGTAAATAGTTGTATGTAGCAGACTGACGAATTAACTCGAATGAATGCCAGAGGTCAAGTGTGCTTATTTAAATTGGTGAGCTACTATACAAGGCCAGAGGCTGTGATATTAAATCTCTGCTAACTGTGACCAAGACTCTGCCTAGTTTAGGGAACTAACAGCAGACCTGTACATAGTTGTATGTAGCAGACCTACGAATCAACCTGAATGAATGCCAGAGCTCAAGTGTGCTTATTTAAGTTGGTGAGCTACTATACAAGGCCAAAGGCTGGGATATTAAATCTCTGCAAACTGTGACCAAGACTCTGCCTAGTTTAGAGAACTAACAGCAGACCTGTAAATAGTTGTATGTAGCAGACTGACGAATCAACCTCCGAAGGAGTCTGAATGAAAGCCAGAGCTTGTGTGCTTATTGGTGAGCCACTATACAAGGACAGAGGCTCTGATATTAAATCTTGGCAAACTGTGACCAAGACTCTGCCTAGTTTAGGGAACTAACAGCAGACCTGTAAATAGTTGTATGTAGCAGACCGACGAATCAACCTGAATGAATGCCAGAGCTCAAGTGTGCTTATTTAAGTTGGTGAGCTACTATACAAGGCCAGAGGCTGGGATATTAAATCTCTGCTAACTGTGACCAAGACTCTGCCTAGTTTAGGGAACTAACAGCAAACCTGTACAAAGTTGTATGTAGCAGACCTACGAATCAACCTGAATGAATGCCAGAGCTCAAGTGTGCATATTTAAGTTGGCGAGCTACTATACAAGGCCAAAGGCTGTGATATTAAATCTCTGCTAACTATGACCAAGACTCTGCATAGTTCATAGTTATTTAAGTTGGTGAGCTACTATACAAGGCCAGAGCTACGAATCAACGTGAATGAAAACCAGAGCTCAAGTGTGCTTATTTAAGTTGGTGAGCTACTATACAAGGCCAGAGGCTCTGATATTAAATCTCTGCAAACTGTGACCAAGACTCTGCCTAGTTTAGGGAACTAACGGCAGACCTGTAAATAGTTGTATGTAGCAGACCGACGAATCAACCTGAATGAAAGCCAGAGCTCAAGTGTGCTTATTTAAATTGGTGAGCTACTATACAAGGCCAGAGGCTGGGATACTAAATCTCTGCTAACTGTGACCAAGACTCTGCCTAGTTTAGGGAACCAACAGCAAACCTGTACATAGTTGTATGTAGAAGACTGACAAATCAACCTCCAAAGGAGTCTGAATGAAAGCCAGAGCTTGTGTGCTTATTTAAGTTGGTGAGCTACTATACAAGGCCAGAGGCTGTGATATTAAATCTCTGCTAACTGTGACCAAGACTCTGCATAGTTCAGGGAACTAACTGCTTGCCTATGAGGCAGTCCATCCCATTGCGCAGCTGGAGGCGGCGGCCATGATTAGATTGAATTCCCCTGCCTACCTAGCAGAGTGTTGTGTATTTTACTCTCCTCTCTCCTCTTCTCTACCCGCAGTCTCTTCATCCGGCTGGAATCGGAGGTGCCGCATTGTTTTCACATTGGTTCCATCAGCTTTCCTTCCCTTTCCGGAAAAAGAGAAAACAAAACAAAAACCAGTGGAGGGGAAGAAAGAGAAGTTATACCAAAAAGCTTCTCGGCAGCATCTACGTTGCTAAAGCCTGAGCGAACGATGCGCAACAATCCGGAATATTCCGCAATTCGGAGTTAGTAGCGGCGGCGGAGGAAGAGGCAGAGAGAGAGAGAAAAACGAAGGAATGCGGCAAAAGAGAGGTGAAGAAAAGGCGGAAAAGGAAGAGGAGGTTAAACCAGGATGCTGGGATGCGGCCAGTAAGATGGATTTTGGGTCATGTTATCCCATGCAAAAGGATGCGGAATCGGTTTGGGGTTCCGGAAAAGGGATAGATATATTCAAAATAATATGAAAACGGCGCAGCTTTTTTGTTTGTTTTTTTACGACGAGACGCAGGCGGGAAGGTTCGGTGGAAGCCGTTTTTAATTCTGCCGTCATTACATTTCGGAAATTAAAAAAAATACGGTACGGTTATTATACAAAGGCTCGAGAAAAAAAAACGAACCCAAAATAATAAAGAAAATCAAATGTTAACAAGAAGGAATATTCAGCAAAAGGAAGTCAAGCAAGCAAGGGCTTTGCGAGGAGCGTCGACACTGTGGAATTAATGCGGGATCAAGCCAGTGGGATCCCCGGAAGATGTAGTTTGGTTCGGAGAGAACGTGAAGCCAAACAACAACCCCTCCCGGGATCACACTGCTTTGAACCGTGGTGGCCGAAGCGTCGTCGAACTGGGTTAATTCTGCAGTGCGGATGCGCCCGAGGAAAAGAGGAATCAGAACGGAGGCGTCTTCGGAGCGTCCAGCAAAGTGAAGCTTCTCCCAAAGCAGTGTTTTCATTGATTTACGACCGGAGGGATGGAAGGGAAGAATGAAGGGAAAAGAGGGGAAGGACGGAGGAGAAGGAGGAGGAGAAAAAGCAAAGGGACGGCAAGAGAGGAGGCGACCGGACCCCGAAAAAACATCACCAACCTTGACGTGAAAAACCTTCGGGAAGGAAGAAGACACCCTTTGTGGCGCCGCCTTGGAAGAAACCTGTAAAGACACCTACACAATTTAGGCCGTGTCCACACTGTAGAATTAACACAGTTTGATCCCTCTTTGGCTCTGTAGCGATGGAACCCTGGGATTTGTCACTTGCCATCGTTGGCAGAGAAGGAATGACGATTCCCAGGCTAACGTGGTGCCAATCTGCACTCATTCAGTGCCAATCTGCATTAATTCTACAGCGTAGACGCCCCATTAGACACAAGAGAAGACAGATTGACACCCTTGTTGAATACAAAGATACGGGTCATTGGTGGAATACATTTCACGGTATATACATAAATATATAGATATAGGTATATACACATATACAAACACACGCACAGGTTAAAAGCACAGAAAATTTGTGAGCGCAGATATCATATACACGAACACACACTCATAAAAAGGGTATCACAGGATTGATCTAAAGGATGCGTAGCTCCACATCCTGATTTATATGGCAGAATGGGGTTGGACTGGATGACCCTTGGAGTCCCCTCCAACTCTAGGATTCTATGAATAATTGGTTCATTAATTCATTGTCTATTTTTATGGTTGTACTGGATCGACTTTGGAGACTATGATTGTATGATCCTCTGGCCAACTGTCAGGAGGGGTTTGATTGTGTCTTCCTTGAGGGCACGAAGGGATTGGACTAGATGGCCTTTGGGGTTCCCTCCTAACTCTAGTGATATATAGACCGCATGGAAATGGGGTCTCTTTCTTTGAAGGCTTTAAGCAAAGGCTGGATGGCCATCTGTCGAGAGGGGTTGGATTGTGTCTACCCAATGGCAGAAGGGAGTTGGACTGGATAGCCTTTGGGATTTCTTCCAATTTTATGGTTATATTATTATTATGATTATTATGCAGGGGCTGGATGGCCATCTATCAGGGAGGATCGTGTCTTCCTCAATGGTAGAAGTGGGTGGGTGGGAGGGACTGGATGGCCCTTGGGATCCAATTCTAGGATTCTATGGTTTTATTATTGTTGTTATTATTATTATTATTATTATTATTAGGTAGAGGCAGGATAGCCACCTGCTGGGATGATATATTATTATTATTATTATTATTATTATTATTATTATTATTATTATTACTACATAGAGGCTGGATAGCCATCTGTTAGGAGGATAATGTTGTTATTGGTATTACATAGAGGCTAGATGGCCATCTGCCGGGATAATATTATTATTGTTGTTGTTATTAGGTAGAGGCTGGATGGCCATCTGTCGGGAGGATATTATTATTGTTGTTGTTAGGTAGAGGCTAGATGGCCATCTGATGAGAGGATATTATTATTATTATTATTATTATTATTATTATTATTATATCGGGAGGATATTATTGTTGTTGTTATTAGGTAGAGGCAGGCCATCTGTCAGGAGGATATTATTATTGTTACTATTAGGTAGAGGCTGGATGGCCATCTGTTGGGAGGATTAATGTTGTTATTACATAGAGGCTAGATGGCCATCTGTCGGGAAGGTATTATTATTATTGTTGTTGTTGTTAGGTAGAGGCTAGATGGCCATCTGTCGGGAAGATATTATTGTTATTGTTGTTGTTAGGTAGAGGCTAGATGGCCATCTGTCGGGAAGATATCATTGTTATTGTTGTTAGGTAGAGGCTAGATGGCCATCTGTCGGGAAGGTATTATTATTATTGTTGTTGTTAGGTAGAGGCTAGATGGCCATCTGTCGGGAAGGTATTATTATTATTGTTGTTGTTAGGTAGAGGCTAGATGGCCATCTGTCGGGAAGATATTATTGTTGTTGTTGTTATTAGGCAGAGGTTGGATGGCCATCTGTCAGGAGGATATTATTATTGTTACTATTAGTTAGAGGTTGGATGGCCATCTGTTGGGAGGATTAATGTTGCAATTACATAGAGGCTAGATGGCCATCTGTCAGGAATATATTATTGTTATTGTTATTAGGCAGAGGCTGGATGACCATCTGTTGGGAGGATAATATTATTGTTGTTATTAGGTAGAGGCTGGATTGCCATCTTTCGGGAGGAAATTATTCTTATTGTTATTAGGAAGAGTCTGGATGGCCATCTGTCGGGAGGATATTGTTGTTGTTAGGTAGAGGCTAGATGGCCATCTGTCGGGAAGGTATTATTATTATTGTTGTTGTTATTAGGCAGAGGTTGGATGGCCATCTGTCTGGAAGATATTACTGTTAATGTTGTTATTAGGCAGAGGTTGGATGGCCATCTGTTGGTAGGATAATATTATTGTTATTATTATGTAGAGGCTGGATGGCCATCTGTCAGGAGGATATTATTATTGTTACTATTAGGTAGAGGCTAGATGGCCATCTGTCGGGAAGGTATTATTATTATTATTGTTGTTGTTAGGCAGAGGTTGGATGGCCATTTGTTGGGAGTATAATATCATTGTTGTTATTACATAGAGGCTAGATGGCCACTGTCGGGAGGATATTATTATTATTGTTGTTGTTGTTGTTATTAGGTAGAGGCAGAATGGCCATCTGTCAGAAGGGTACTATTGTTATGGTTGTTAGGTAGAGCCCGGATAGCCATCTGTCGGGAGGATATTGTTGTTAGGTAGAGACTGGAAGGCTAGGTATTATTGGGAGGGTATTATTATTGTTGTTGTTGTTAGGTAGAGGCTAGATGGCCACATGTAGGGAAGATATTGTTGTTGTTGTTAGGTAGAGGCTAGATGGCCATCTGATGAGAGGATACTATTATTATTATTATTATTATTATTATTATTATTATTATTATTATTATTAGGCAAGGGCTGGATGGCCATCTGTCAGGATTGTTATTGTTATATAGGTAGAGGTTAGATGACAATCTGTTGGATGTTGATGATAATCATTATTATTATGCAAGGCCTGAATTGCCATCTACTGATGGGTCGCGCCTTCCTCAAGCGTCGACTGGGTGGCCTTGGGGATCCTTTTCAACCTCTAGGATCCTATTATTATTATTATTATTATTATTATTATTATTATTATTATTATTATATGTATTTATACCCCGCTTTATCTCTCCCGAAGGAGACTCAAAGCAATCCTAGTATTCCTGGCCACCTGACATACCCAAAACCATTTATATATAACCCTGTTGCGTCTCATTCTCGACACTTACGCTCAAGTTTCGAACTCAGAACGTCTGCGCATACTGGGCGGCGTAGGCGCTGGCGTACCGCTCGTAGTACTCCGCCACATTGTAAGCGGTGCCAATGCTGTACTGGGAGTACGTAGCTGCGGCTGCAGCTGCCGCCGCATAGCCAGGCTGGCTGTAAGCTTGGCTATACGTTTGGTTGGCTGCTGCGGTTGCCGCCGCAGCCGCCGCAGCCGCCGCAGCTGCCGCATAAGGGTCAGCGTATTGGGCCACGACAGTGGTGGGAGTAGTAGTCCGCCTGCCCATGGGGCTCCGCTCCCGATATGCGGAAGGTGGAGGTGGCAAAGCCCGGTCGTACGCGGCACGGGCTCGGTCGTAGAGCTCGTAGGAGTAGCGGTCGCAGTACTCGCGGTCGTACCAGGCCCGGGCACAGTATGGCGCATATGTGGGTGGGGCAGCGATGCGTCCGCGGGAGAAGTAGTACCCGGCGGGGGTGGCGGGTGCTGTCGCGGCAGCAACGGTGGGAGTTCCCTTGGCGGCTCGCAGGCTGCCGTTGCTCTTGGAGAGGGTGACAAAGATCTTCTGGTCCTCCAACGGGGTGTCGTTGAGGTGGAGGATGGCATCCATGGCCTCGCGCTCCTTGGCCATGTGGACAAAGGCGTAGTTCTTGACGATGTCGCACTCCACCACCTTGCCGAAGCGCTCAAAGAGCTGTCGTAGCTGGGCGGTGGTGGCCTTGGCCGAGACGTTGCCCACGTAGATCTTGGTGGCGTTGCGGATCTTGGAGGTGGCGTACTCCACCGTCAGCGGGGCCCCATAGAACTCGCTCTTGTGCAGCGCCCCGATGGCCTGGTGCGCCTCCTCCTCCTTCTCCATGTGAACAAAGGCAAAGTTCTTCAGCACGTCGCACTCGTTCACCTGCCCGTATTGCTCAAACAGCTTGCGCAGCTCCTCCGCCATCACCGCTGGCGAAAGGCCGCCCACAAAGATCTTGACCATGGCGCCACCGAGGGAAGGAGGCGCCCGCCCTCCTCCTCCAAGGCCCTTCGAAGGAAAACGGGAAAGGGGTGAGCGACGAGCAAAAGGGTCTCAATCACATTCTACGCTTCCGAGGGGGGAAACGGCAGACTTGCCGCAGTAGCAATGTGGTTAAAACAGCTGCAGGAAAAGCTGCTCACCGGAAGGTTAGCAGTTTAAAGCCACGAACCAGGATGAGCCCCCAAGTTTCAGTCCTAGCTTCTGCCAACCTAGCAGTTTCAAAGCATGCAATGCAAATAGATCAATAGCTACCTCCTTCTCTCCACAAGCAGACTCAAAGTGGCTATATATCTATTATTAATATTAGAGTGCATTATTATTATTACTACTACTACATTATTATTTTATATTATTATATTGTTATTTATACCCTACTTTCTCTCTCCACAATCAAGACTCAAAGTGGCTATGTATCTATTATTAATATTAGAATGTATTATTATTATTATTATTATTATTACTACATTATTATTTTCTATTATTATATTATTATTTATACCCTACTTTCTCTCTCCACAATCAAGACTCAAAGTGGCTATGTATCTATTATTAATATTAGAATGCATTATTATTATTATTATTACTACATTATTATTTTATATTATTATATTATTATTTATACCCTACTTTTTATCTCCACAATCAAGACTCAAAGTGGCAATGTATCTATTATTAATATTAGAATGCATTATTATTATTATTATTACTACATTATTATTTTATATTATTATATTATTATTTATACCCTACTTTTTATCTCCACAATCAAGACTCAAAGTGGCAATGTATCTATTATTAATATTAGAATGCATTATTATTATTATTATTATTACTACATTATTATTTTCTATTATTATATTATTATTTATACCCTACTTTCTCTCTCCACAATCAAGACTCAAAGTGGCAATGTATCTATTATTAATATTAGAATGTATTATTATTATTATTATTATTATTATTACTACATTATTATTTTCTATTATTATATTATTATTTATACCCTACTTTCTCTCTCCACAATCAAGACTCAAAGTGGCAATGTATCTATTATTAATATTAGAATGCATTATTATTATTATTATTATTACTACATTATTATTTTATATTATTATATTATTATTTATACCCTACTTTTTTATCTCCACAATCAAGACTCAAAGTGGCAATGTATCTATTATTAATATTAGAATGCATTATTATTATTATTATTATTATTATTATTATTACTACATTATTATTTTCTATTATTATATTATTATTTATACCCTACTTTCTCTCTCCACAATCAAGACTCAAAGTGGCAATGTATCTATTATTAATATTAGAATGCATTATTATTACATTATAATATTATTATCATTATGTTTATGTACACCCCCTTTACCTCTCCCAAAGGAGACTCAAAGACTATGTATCTATTAATACTAAAATGCATCATTATTATTATATTCTTATTATTACATTATTATTTTATATTATTATATTATTATTTATATGCCGCTTTCTCCACAAGGAGACGGAAAGTGACTATGTTATCTAATATTAGAATACATCTATTATTATTGCATTATTTTGTAATATTATTCTATATTATAATGTTATTATTATTTATTCCCCACTTTTTCTCTCGCAAACAAGACTCAAAGCGGCTATGTATCTATTATTAATATTAGAATGCATTATTGTTATTATTATCACATTACTATTTTATATTATTATTATTTAATATTTAATATTATTATTATTATTCATATTCTGCTTCCTCTCTCCACAAGGAGACCCAAGGCAGCTATGTATCTATAATTAATATTAGAATGCATTATTATTATTATTACTTTACTATTTTATATTATTTTATATTATTATTATATAATATTATTTTATATTGTTGTTGTTATTATTATTATTATTATTATTATTATTATTCATACACCGCTTTCTCTCTCCACAAGGAGACTCAAAGCTGCTATGTATCTATAATTAATATTAGAATGCATTATTATTACTTTACTATTTTATATTATTTTATATTATTATTATTATTATTATTATTATTATTATTATTATTATTATTATTCATACCCCGCTTTCTCTCTCCAGAAGGAGACTCAAGGTGGCTATAATTAATATTAGAATGCATTATTATTATTATTATTAGTATTATTATTTTCAAAATCCAAAGGATTCACTGCATTGTATGGAATTGCCCATCATCCACACTCAGCAGCAGAACCTGGATGAGGGACAGGTAAGCCCCAAAATACAGGTGAGAGTACACAACCATATCAACCTAGCCTATCAAGGAAGCTCAACCACAAGATCTGCTTTGAACCGGATTATCTGAGTCCACACTGCCATATAACCCAGTTCAAGGTGGATCTGATTCCAGCTGTGTGGGAGGGGCTTCTGATTCAGTAATGAGAGGGGCACCTTGATTTGCAAAATTTGCAAAAGTCATGATTTGCAATGCAATAATAATAACAACAACAACAATAATAATATGCAATGCAATGCAATGCCTTCTAAGGAGGGGAGAAAACATTGCAATGCAATAATAATAATAATAATAATAATAATAATAATAATAATAATAATAATATGCAATGCAATGCCTTCTAAGGAGGGGAGAAAACTATGCATTGCAAGGCAATAATAATAATAATAATAATAATAATAATAATAATAATAATAATAATATGCAATGCAATGCCTTCTAAGGAGGGGAGAAAACTATGCATTGCAAGGCAATAATAATAATAATAATAATAATAATAATAATAATAATAATAATATGCAATGCAATGCCTTCTAAGGAGGGGAGAAAACATTGCAATGCAATAATAATAATAATAATAATAATAATAATAATAATAATAATATGCAATGCAATGCCTTCTAAGGAGGGGAGAAAACTTTGCATTGCAATGCAATAATAATAATAATAATAATAATAATATGCAATGCCTTCTAAGGAGGGGAGAAAACTATGCATTGCAATGCAATAATAATAATAATAATAATAATAATAATATGCAATGCAAACTTTGCATTGCAATGCAATAATAATAATAATAATAATGATGATGATGATGATGATGATATGCAATGCAATACATTCTAAGGAGGGGAGAAAACATTGCAATGCAATAATAATAATAATAATAATAATAATAATAATAATAATAATTGTAATAATATGCAAGGCAATGCCTTCTAAGGAGGGGAGAAAACATTGCAATGCAATGCAACAATAATAACAATAACAATAATAATAAGCAATGCAATACCTTCTAAGGAGGGGAGAAAACATTGCAATGCAATAATAATAATAATAATAATAGTAATATGCAATGCAAACTTTGCATTGCAATGCAATAATAATAATAATAATATTGATGATGATGATGATGATATGCAATGCAATACATTCTAAGGAGGGGAGAAAACATTGCAATGCAATAATAATAATAATAATAATAATAATAATATGCAATGCAATGCCTTCTAAGGAGGGGAGAAAACTTTGCATTGCAATGCAATAATAATAATAATAATAATATGCAATGCAAACTTTGTATTACAATGCAATAATAATAATAATAATAATAATATGCAATGCAAACTTTGTATTGCAATGCAATAATAATAATAATATGCAATGCAAACTTTGTATTGCAATGCAATAATAATAATAATAATATTGATGATGATGATGATGATATGCAATGCAATACATTCTAAGGAGGGGAGAAAACATTGCAATGCAATAATAATAATAATAATAATAATAATAATAATAATAATAATATGCAATGCAATGCCTTCTAAGGAGGGGAGAAAACTTTGCATTGCAATGCAATAATAATAATAATAATAATATGCAATGCAAACTTTGTATTACAATGCAATAATAATAATAATAATAATAATATGCAATGCAAACTTTGTATTGCAATGCAATAATAATAATAATATGCAATGCAATGCCTCCTAAGGAGGGGAGAAAACTTTGCATTGCAATCCAACAACAACAACAACAATAATAATAATAATAAGCAATGCAATAATAATAATATGCAATGCCTTCTAAGGAGGGGAGAAAACATTGCATTGCATTGCAATAATAATAATAATAATAATAATAATAACAACATTGCATTGCATTGCAATGCAATAATAATAATAATAATAATAATAATATGCAATGCAATGCCTCCTAAGGAGGGGAGAAAACTTTACAATGCAATAATAATAATAATAATAATAATAATAATAATATGCAATACCTTCTAAGGAGGGGAGAAAACAGTGCAATGCAATAGTAATAATAATAATAAGAATATGCAATGCAATGCCATCTAAGGAGGGGAGAAAACATTGCATTGCATTGCAAATCAGGATTTTTTTGTAAATTTTTGCAATTTTTGCAAATGGAAGCTTCAGTTGCATCCATTGCAACCCCCCCCCCCTTTTTTGGATGCAATTGAGGAAAGGAAGGAATTCAAGGGCTTCCCATTGCATCCGAGCTTGCATTGCATTGCATTGCAACCCCCCTCCCCAAATTGCCCCCAACCCCCCAATTCCATTCAATGCACTCACCAATGGATGCTCTCCCCTCCCTTCCTTCCTTCCTTCTCTCTTCTTTGCAGTGCAATGCAACCCAATGCAATTTTCTAGGGACCCCAATTTGCAATGGATTGCAAGCCCACCCACCCCTTATTAGTACTAGTATTATTATTTCCCCCCCACCCCGTCCTTGCTTCCACCGCCTAGGACTGCGCCATGATGCCCTTCCTCTGGATCACGTGAACAGGAGGAAAAAGGGGGGGTTTCAAGGAAGGGAGGGGGTCCAAGGGGAGCCAGGGCCTCCTCCTGCTCTGTGTGGGGTCTGCACGCCAAGCACTTCCCCTGGAGCCCCTTGACACGCGTCCTGGGGCGCCCCCAGGGCTCTAATTGCACCTTGCACGTGTGAATGCACCTTTTCTGTGTTCCTGAGGGCAGGCGCCCCCCAAAGGAGAGGGAATGGGTTCTGCAAGGCATTCAGGGTTCACTATTCAACAAGGGGGCTTCCCAGTGGAGAAAGTGAGAGTACACAACCATGTAATGTGATAATAATAATTATTATTATTTATTGTACAGTTAAATGTATTGCACAGTGCAATATAATAATATACAAGACTAATATAGTGCTATGCTAATAATATCATGTATAGTTTGGTGCACTATAATAATATACAAGACTAATATTGTGCTGTGCTAATGATATAATTTATTGCACAGTTAAATTTATTGCACTGTGCAATATAATAGTCAAGACTAATATTGTGCTCTGCTAATAATATAATGTATTGCACCGTACAATATAATAATATACAAAACTAATATTGTGCTCTGCTAATAATATAAGTTATTGGACGGTGCAATATAATAATATACAAGACGAATATTATGCTATGTTAATAATATAATTTATTGCACAGTTAAATTTATTGCACAAGCAATATAATAATATACAAGACTAATATTGTGCTCTGCTAATAATATAATTATTGTACAGTGAAATATAATAATATACAAGACTAATATAGTGCTATGCTAATATAATTATTGCCCGGTGCAATACAATAATATACAAGACTAAAAATAGTGCTCTGCTAATAATATAATTTATTGCACAATGCAATATAATAATATACAAGACTAATATGGTGCTCTGCTAATAATATAATTTATTGCACTGTGCAATATAATAATATGCAAGACTAATATAATGCTATGCTAATATAATTATTGCACGGTGAAATATAATAGCATACAAGACTAATATGGTGCTCTGCCAATAATATAATTTATTGCACAGTTAAATTTATTGCACAGTGCAATATAATAATAGTCAAGACTAATATAGTGCTATCCTAATATAATTATTGCACAGTGAAATATAATAATAGTCAAGACTAATATAGTGCTATGCTAATATAATTATTGCACAGTGAAATATAATAAAATACAAGACTAATATGGTGCTCTGCTAATAATATAATTTATTGCACAATGCAATATAATATACAAGACTAATTTTGTGCTAAGCTAATATAATTATTGCACTGTGCAATATAATAATATACAAGACTAATATTGTGCTCTGCTAATAATATAATTTATTGCACAGTTAAATTTATTGCACAATGAAATATAATAGTCAAGACTAATATTGTGCTCTGCTAATAATATAATGTATTGCACTGTGCAATATAATAATATACAATAATATGGTGCTCTGCTAATAATATAATTTATTGCACGGTCCAATATAATAATATACAAGACTAATATTGTGCTCTGCTAAGAATATAATGTATTGTACTGTGCAATATAATAATACGCAAGACTAATATTGTGCTATGCTAAGAATATAACTTATTGCACTGTGCAATATAATAATATACAAAACTAATATGGTGCTCTGCTAATACTATAATGTATTGCACTGTGAAATATAATAATATACAAGACTAATACTGTGCTCTGCCAAAATATAATTTATTGCACAGTTAAATTTATTGCACTGTGCAATATAATAATATACAAGACTAATATTGTGCTCTGCTAATAATATAATTTATTGCACAGTGAAATATAATATACAAGACTAATTTTGTGCTATGCTAATATAATTATTTACAGTACAATATAATAATATACAAGACTAATATTGTGCTATGCTAATAATATAATTTATTGCACAATTAAATTTATTGCACAGACCAATATAATAATAGTAAAGACTAATATTGTGCTCTGCCAATAATATAATTTATTGCACAGTTAAATTTATTGCACAGTGCAATATAATAATAATCAAAACTAATATGGTGCTCTGCTAATATACAGTGCAATATAATAATATACAAGACTAATATAATGCTATGCTAATATAACTATTGTACAGTGCAATATAATAATATACAAGACTAATATTGTGCTCTCCTAATAATATAATTTATTGCACCGTTAAATTTATTGCACAGTGCAATATAATAATATACAAGACTAATAATATACAAGACCAAGGGCAAGATGGATGGATGGCATCCTTGAAGTGACTGGACTGACCTTGAGGGAGCTGGGGGTGGTAACGGCCGACAGGGAGCTCTGGCGTGGGCTGGTCCATGAGGTCACGAAGAGTCGGAGACGACTGAACGAATGAACAACAACAACAAGACTAATATGGTGCTCTGCTAATAATATAATGTATTGCACATCGCACTATAATAATATACAAGACTAATATTGTGCTCTGCTAATAATATAATTTATTGCACAGTGCAATATAATAATATACAATAATATGGTGCTCTACTAATAATATAATGTATTGCACATCGCACTATAATAATATACAAGATTAATATTGTGCTCTGCTAATAATATAATTTATTTCACAGTTAAATTTATTGCACAGTGCAATATAATAATATACAAGACTAATATTGTGCTGTGCTAATGATATAATTTATTGCACTGTGCAATATAATATACAAGACTAATATGGTGCTATGCTAATATAATTATTTCACAGTGCAATATAATAATATACAAGACTAATATTGTGCTCTGCTAATAATATAATTTATTGCACAGTGCAATACAATAATATACAAGACTAAAAATAGTGCTATGCTAATAATATAATTTATTGCACATCGCAATATAATAATATACAAGACTAATATTGTGCTCAGTTAATAATTTATTGCACATCGCAATATAATAATATACAAGACTAATATTGTGCTCAGTTAATAATATAATTTATTGCACATCGCAATATAATAATATACAAGGCTAATATTGTGCTATGCTAATAATATAATTTATGGTATGGTGCAATATAATAATTTGGAGTCCCATTGGCTTTAATGGAGGGGCAAAATATCAAGGAGGATGCAATTTGTGGTGATCCGCTGAACTTGCTGACCAGGGAGTGGGGTGAGCTTCCGATATTAGCCCCAGCTTCTGCCAACCTAGCAGTTCGAAAACATGCAAATGTGAGTGGATCAATAGGTAACGCTTCTGCAGGAAGGTAATGGCACTCCATGCAGTCATGCCGGCATCCACATGTTGATGTTTATGATATTTTCACAAACCCCGATGACATCCAGACATATTATTATTATTATTATTATTATTATTATTATTATTAGGCCGCCCAGTGGCACAGTGGGTTAAACTGCTGAGCTGCTGAACTTGCTGACCAAAACGTAGCCGGCCCGAATCCAGCGAGTGGGGTGAGCTTCCGCTGTTAGCCCCAGCTTCTGCCAATCTAGCAGTTCGAAAACATGCAAATGTGAGTGGATCAATAGGTAACGCTTCTGCAGGAAGGTAATGGCACTCCATGCAGTCATGCCGGCATCCACATGTTTATGTTTATGGTATTTTCACAAACCCCGATGACATCCAGACACATTATTATTATTTGAAACACAACAAGGTGAGTCCACAGCAGACACTCTGCTGGCTGTTGTATTGGATCCCACGTCGGGCACTCCCCAAGTATCTCGGACTGTGTGATGTATTGGCGAATAATTCGTGCAGATCCCAGTAAGGTGGCCTTTTGCAGCTGGCAGATGGTAATTTTGTCAACGCCGATTGTGTTTAAGTGCAGGCCAAGGTCTTGAGGCACAGTCCCCCCCATTTTGCCTCCTGAGGAAAAGTCCTCTCTACCATTCTGTCTCTTGACGGCGGCCAAGCAGTTTCCTCATGGAAGGAATGCAGCAAAATGGAGGCTGGAGGAGGAGACCATACTTCCTGCCATTTTGCCTCCCAAGGAGAACTTTTGGCCCTCATTTCCTCTCCTGAGTTAAACTCGCACTCACCATTTTGCCTCTGATGAAGGCATGGTGGAAATCCATAATACATATATTGGATGCAATCGTATAAGAAATAGGAATTAGAAAATATATATGAAATCACAAAGGGATATGTATGTATGCATGAACGTCATTTCAGTTGGGAAAATATTCTCTTCTTAAAAGCTGCAAATTAGAGTCCAGAAAGAGGCCAGGGTTTAGGAAAGGAATGTCTAAGGCTTGTGGCAAATATCAAGACCCTTCCATTTTGTACCAAGCAGGGCTTATCGTAAGATTAATGAGCCTGGCTATCAAGAGGCTTTTTCAGGAAAGACTTCTCGCAAGATGGATGGAAGCTCTTGCTATCAGTAGCCCGTAGCAGACACTCTGGCACTATGGTCCACTAATGAGCAGCTCTTTAGATAAAGGAGCTTAATGGATGATTGAAGGTGTTGAAGTTAAAGTATGCTATTGGAGTCAATGTAAAAGTGGAATTTTGTGACGCACATTGTGATGCTTGTATGATGCATGCAGGGGCGGCTCGTCCATTATGCGAAGTAAGCGGTCGCAGAACATTCCTTTTTTTTGCCAGGGGCGCAGAGGCGCCTCTGTAAATGCCCCTCGACTGCCACTTGAGGAGTGCCCCCTCAGCTCACAACAGCCCTAGCAGTCCAGGGGGAGCTCAGCTTTCTTGCCTCGCTGCCAGGCGATCCTCTTCCTAAAGGGGCCGGGCCCTTGAGCCTCGCCTAGCCCCTCTCGTTCCTGCTCCACCCGGCCACCGGGTGCGCGAGCAGAGCCGGCGCTCAATCGTTCTCCGCGTTCGATCCCTTCCCCATGACCGGCTCCCTTTCCCGATCCCCTGGCGCTCCACCCGCCTCCTCTCCTCTCCCCAATCCACGGGTGGGCCAAGGGGCGGAGCCGCCATGCCTGGCCCGCTTCGGGTCCAGAGGCGTGTCTGAAGACCCCAGCGTGCGCACCAAAAGTCGCCTCTTCTCCTGACTTTCTCTTCAGCCATTGGGACCAAGAGAGAGAGAGAGAGAGAGAGAGACCCTCCGGCTGGAGGTATCTCCCACCTCCGCTCCCTCCTTTGTTTTTGCGCCTACCTTCAGGAAAGGTGGGCATCTTCACCT